AGAAGCTGAAATCTGCTATGGATTTTAAAATTGTTGAAGTTGTTTTTAAGTAAATGGCATTGTAAAAAATTAATTTGAATAATTTTATCAACCTCACAACAGGCAATTTAATAATCGTATGCCCTAAAATTCAGCATAGAAAGTTTCAGGATCAGAGAGGCTATATGGAAGCATAGTGTTCTAATAGGAATCTGCATAACCACTTGACATCAGCAAAATCTGTGCTCTATTAAATAACCCATTGTTTTCAACCAGACTCCCTTCAATCACCTTCTCTTTATTTTCTTCTCTCYTTCTTTCTGTGGTATAGTTGTATTGTTGGTAGAGCACACAGGCAGAAACAGCACCCGTTTTTCCCACCCATTGTCTGTGCATTTGTGCAYTGGATCTTTCTTCTGCCATTTCTACCCAGAGCAGCAGTGAAAGCCCAGTTCAGATGGCGTGGTTGTACATGCTTTTTCAAGCTTAGCTACTGCTTGGCTATTCAAATAGCCACAAGTCTGGCAGAGCAGATCTGGCTTTATTTGTTGAGTCTTGTCTAGTGAAGTGAAAAGGCCTGAATTTTTTTTTCCTGGCTGCATTTTTGCACATGTGGGGGTAGGGAATGAAATTATTTCTTTTGTCCTCYACTTGCAGCTCATTGAGAAGCAGGCATGCATATAAAATTACTGTATCTCAGGGCTTACCTTTAGGGAGAGGAGAGAGAAAGAAACAGATTTGTAAGCTTGACTGGAAACACTGAGGTTGCTGAAAGCGGGCCCAAAAGTGGAAGGTAACAATAATAAAGCACAGTGAATGGAGGACAAACAAAAACTTTTCAAATTAATATGACAGCAGTTTTATTTCATCCATTATAAGAAATACCATATTACTGGATGTATCAAGGCAATAAAAATTGTATCAATGTGTCCAAAGCAAGGAAGCATCAAAACACCAAGGTTTGGTTTTGCAACGTCACCAAAAATTATTAAATAAATAAATAAACGTATAAAAATTATTAATATGTATGCTGTTTTTTCTAGGTATTAAGTTATACCTGCAATTACAAAGAAGATGTCTTGAGGGGTGAACTTCAGTGATGGAGACTAAAACRCAACTCTCTTTCTCTCTTGCTTTAGTTTACCCAAGTGGATCAGTGAATACTAACTAACCTGCATCTTAAGTTTCAGTAGGGTTTTGTGGGCTTTTTTTATTGATGTGTTTTACCTCACATTTGCAGTCAGATGGTACAGCTGCAGTCTCTTTCAGTTCTCCAGCTTGTGTTGCTGTCCGTGACCTTTGCTCTGGGCAGCAGTAATGATTCCTGTGATTTGTAGTGGTTTTAACTACGTGTGTGTATAAGCACTGCTTTGGCCTTTTTGTCATTTGAAATGTGGGATTTGTGGTGGCTGACCAGTAGCCTGAATGTAGCTTCAGGGCAGCTCTTGCATTCTGGTCTTTTGCATGTTTAGGATATTTTGGTTAGAGAATCAAGTGATGCTAAAAATCAGTTTTGTTGATTGTTCAAAACTAGTTTATATTCTCAAAGGTCGAAGCCAGAATTAATTAATGGAGTATATCATATTATTGGTATATATTGGTATATAGCAATATGTTCATGATTCCTAAACTAATGGTTTGGCGAGGTTGCAAATATTAAGTGTTAGACATGAATGTGATTTAGTCAGATACTTTACTGAATGAATTTTAAAACAAATCAAAGAATTCACTGAGACTAAAAGGTGTCAAGTTTGGAAATCCATGGATTTTAAAATACTTTGCTTATTATGGCTACTCTTCTACACTACACATGCAGACTCAGAGCTGTGAAATGAATTGATAGAAACCCATCCTTTGACCTCCAGCCTAGTAATTTGTATTAAAAAAAAAAAAAAAAAAAAAAAAAAAAAAAAAAAAAAAAAAAAAAAACCAAAAAACCAAGAATGTAAAATTTTAATTTAAATAAGATATTTGAGGGATCAAGAGAGACATGGGTGCCATTATATAGATTTCCAGTTTGTATATGAACAAAGCTGTTGGTGCTGTTTTATATTTTTTAAATGGGATGCTACTTTACTACTAGAAGTTATACAAGCAACAGAATTTGAATGTTACTCAGCAATTGCATGATCTGAACCATGTCCTCTGAGATAAGTTTGAAGTTATCTAACTCAATTGTAGTGTCTTTCATGCAGTTTTTTCATTCCAAACTCTACTTTGCTGACCTAATTTTAAAAGGATTAAAAATGCGCATTGGCTGTATAAACTGTTGTGCTGGGAAGAGCAAGGCTGGGGAGAAGCTATGAAAGCTGAAAATTGTAAAAGACAATGAAAGCAGAAAAGTTCATTCTTGTAATAGAATAATTTTCACTTGACTGGAAAGCATGGGTGCAAAAGCTGCCTGCTGGAATGGAGYCAATAGGCACAGAAATCAGTATTTCGTGTAACTCCATATACTTCTAACAACTTAATCTACATTGAGTAATATTTTACCCATWCTCTGAAAGTAAAGACTAGCTGTCTGTAAGTAAAATGGCAAAATCTGTGGTCTGAGGATGAAAGATAGCAAGATGTGGCCACCTCCAGTCCATACAATTTCTCCATATTTTCACAATTTATCAATTTAAGGATGGGAGGCTTTTTAAACCTAATTTCTTTTAAATCTTCATTTCTTGAGATGGAGAAACAGAGTACACTTAAACAGTTGAAGCACTGAAATGAAAGCTCACAGCTCCTTAAGTCATGCAATTTTAGTTCCCTGAGTATTTTGTATAATGTTAATAGTGCTCATAACTATGAATGCATTGGTTCTTCAGTACCTGAGTTCTATGAAGAGCAGAAGATAGCGAAAATTAGTCTCAGACAGCAAAAAGTTATTCAAGAATATTCCTTCTGTATCCTGTTTTATGTTGGTCATTTTGAGGTTTCTTCTTACTTCCATAAGTCTCTGGGTTTTGTTTTATTCTAATAACTTGATATACTAGAGCCCGTTAATATTTCTGTCTACCATATGTATCAAAGCAAATTTCATACTTGTCATGATTTGAACTGGGCCAAAAGCCAAAGCACCCAACGAAGTTCCCTCCTCCCCACCACCARAGAGGCAGAAGGGAGAGCAAAAGCCCAATTAACACTAAAATTTATGGCTTTTTAGGTAACATAACATAATTGAGAGAAAGATACATATATGCTCCAGAAAATGGTCAGACAGGCTGAATAACTTAAGTTGCAAAATAGATTTATTGCTAAAAACTACTAAGAATACTACCGCACCAGGGAGGGGAACAAAGATAGGGAAAAATTTACAAGGAGAAAAAAATAAAAAACGGACATTTTAAAACACCTGTTATTTATTCTGGAAACCTGGCTCTCTTCCAAGTTGTCCCTCTCCACTCCTCCCATGCCTTCCCAGATGCAAAGTGGGGCAGGGATGAAAGTTTTAACATAGATCAAACTACTCATTACGGTTATTGTCCAGCATCACAGGAGAAGAGTCCTTACAGCTCCAAACTGTGGAAGTTCTTTTCCCAAGAAAGTGTGGAAGTTCTTTTTCCCAAGAAAGAACTGTGGAAGTTCTTTTCCCAGTGTATAACTGCTGATGGCATGGGATTCTTTTCTTTACCTCATGGGAGAAAGGAAAACAGTTCTCCAAGGCCGACTGCGTTATATATGCGGCGTAAGGCCACAATCACAAATCTCCTGTCAGAACACAGCTCCTTCTAAGCATCCACTTGCTTCAGACGTGGGGCGGGGAGGGCACCTCYTCCCCGCCACAGAACACAATTTCTTCTGCGCATCCAGTCCTCAAAGGCCAGTTTTTTCTCAGAGCAAGGTTGCTCTCTTTTCTATACAGGTCTCCCATTGCAGAAATAGTCCTTTCCAGAACAGCTTGTTTTCTCCATGTTCGAGCACCACAGCAACAGCACAGCACCTCTCTCCTTCTCACTATGATCTTGGGTCTCCATTTTTTCTTACATCTCCTCATCCTCCTCCTCTGTCTTCCCCTGATGATACTGACAACCTAAAAACTAAATGGTGGCCATGCTCTATCCTGTTTTGAACTCTTCTTAAGTACAAGACCATATGTCACCACAGAGGTGTAACTAGCCTGTGCAATTGGCCCAGACCTGACCAGCAGCCTGTCCATCAACCTCAGAGCCACAATGGATTAGTTCTAAAACACAGGGRGCAGAGCTCTTTTTGCTGAAGAAGGAGAAAGCTTCTTCGGTCAAAGAAGCCATCTTTGTGGTTTCTTGGTCCCATCCCCCCACCACCAAAAATCAGACCRAGTAAAACCAGGASAATACTCCAGCGWATTTTAGTGGTTTCAGAAAGTATTGTACTGTTGATAAATAACTTGCAATAACCTCAGCAATAACCTCCTCAACTTCAGAAAGCTYAATCTGAGACTGCAAGTATTCTGTAATAAGCGATGTTTTCAATGAATAGACATGTTAAATGCTTTCCTCAGATCTTTCGCATGCAGCGCATCCTACATTTCTTTTTGGTATTCAGAGTCTCTTCTGCTATAAATGCCAGCAGAGATGTTGTTATTCACTCARAGAGTGATTTGACTACTGAGCTATGTGTTTGATGGGCAGCTTGGTAGTATCAATCAATTCAGCTTTAGAGAAAGCTCTCTTCAGTTTCTAAAGCAAAAAAATCTGCATGAAGTTTTGATGAAATACTTCTGGAGAAAARTGGGCAAAATAAATATTTTGCACTCAGTTTCAAACTGTATTTGCAGGACAGCTGATTTTGTAGTGAACCAAAAAAAAACATGTAGTATGTTTTTCTTTTTCAATACTTCAAAAATTTTGTGCAGCTTCATACTGTTTTTGTTGAGTGCACATCACTTGGAAACAAAGTCTGTTTCTTTGATTGTTTATAAAGTACCATGGATATTAATCAGAAACAAAATTAATTAAAATTACTCTCTTTTCTATTATGTTGTGTATTAATTTTTCTGAACTTAMTTCAAGAATCCTATATTTATTTGTATTACTTTTTCTTATCCCCAGAACCAACGTATATCACAATAGGTCCACCCACCTGTGAGGTTTTGGTGAACTGCACTTTGACYGAAAAAGACTGTATCTATAGCTTCAAACTGGACCAAAATGGTTGTCGCATTTGTCAGTGCAAAACTAGTGAGTATGCAAAAATACAATGACTTCTACCTTTTATATCAAACTGTATGTGAAAATGCTGTTTTTTCCATTCATAATGTTGATTATAAGTTGTGTTAGTACATGCATGCTTTGTAGTTGTTCATCTTTAAAGAACAGCTTCCCTATATCTGGCATTGCTTGCTTTCTTAAAATGTGTTTGGCCGAAAATGTAAAATATTTGTTTAGAGGTAAACATTTAACAGCTGACTAGAAAAGGTAATAATTTGGGATCTAATATTCACATAGAGTTTGAGAAGTGTTATCAGAATTCCACATTCATTTTCCTCTGTTTAAAGAATTTTAAAATTTAATCTAGGTTTCTGCACTTCAGAAATTCCTATGSCTAAACAGACAATTTTAATCTTAGCTTTCTTTGTCAAAATTTCGATTTTGAGGATAAATGTTTGAAAATTATATGCTTGGGAGTGGATGTTTGTATATATACGACTATATCCATATTAATGTTTATTTCTATGTAATCTTATATCCATATTAATGTTTATTTCTATGTATTCTTATATTTATTTTTACATACATATATGTTATTTTAGTTAGCATTTATGCAAGCTTTAACATCTATTTCTTCCCAAAGAAAAGTGCCTTGTGAGAACTTTGTGTGTATCAAGAAAATCATATTTTCTGTATGTGTTTCCTTGAGACTTCAGTGTTTGCAGATGAAATATAAGGCAATATCAGGTTGGTTTTTGGAATTGGCCAACGAAGGACACCTGTGGAGTACTAGTCCCAGCTGCAGGATGCATCACTGTGGCTGCCAGCCCAACCTAGCAGTGGGTTTAAACTCTCTTTGTAATGTGATTTTAGTTTTTCAGCTTTCTTGCAGCCTCTAAGGCTTTCACAACTAAGGTATTGCTCCATTCCTTTCCTTTTGCTTTCAGTCCACCCATTCTCAGCCACTTTCTAAACCAATGTGACTATTGTAGGGGTCCCAGGTAGAAATGGTCAAAATAAAACTCTTCATAAGTACAAACTAAAGAGTTTKAGGATTGAATTAAGGTTGGAGAGGACATTTTAACAAAAATATATGACAAAACATAACCTTATCATGGCAATACAGAAATAATACCTTTGATTGCAAGTTGTATTCATGGCACGATGATTTTCCTTAAGTTACATCCAAGCTATCGCATACTTTACTTRCTTAGTTTTCCTGAGGAAAATATTRGAAATGTTAAGGTCTGCTTTAAACATTGTAATTGGATTTTCCTTCTCCTTCTATTATTATTAAATTGACTGGGGAGTTTGAYACAAACAAGAAGATGGACATACTTGGCAGATTTCATCATCTATGCCTGTGCATGCAGTCCTTCGCTCCAGTGTGGTGCATTGGAGACACATCACTCCAAAGGATGGTTTCTTTTCTTCTGAGTTATCAAATTGCACAAGGATACATCTCAGAATATTCTTGCTTGAAGTATTTCTGATTAAATAGTGCATAAGAACCTATTCAGGGGAATTTTTCTCTTGCCAGATTTGCTYGAAATTATGTTCATTTTACTGTAGTAGCAGTCGCAAACTGTCTGGAGCAAACTTAATAGTATAATTTGTCATCTTTTTTCAGTTAAATAATGTGACTAGTAGATTGCTTTAAAATTTCAGTCATTTAGAAGGAGGAGACCTTTATTTTCTAAGGACGTGAAGAAAAATAACAGCTTGGAAATCTTTATCATTTGGTGGTTATTAATCAAAATGACAGAAATTRGATTTTTCTGTCAAGTAATATCTGTTGCTTGTAAGGCTTTGGACAAATGAGTGTGTGAGAAATGAGAAAAGAGGAGTCTTAGGTCAAATATGCTGCAAACGTACTGTGCAAGCTCTCTGTGTTTTGAGATCCGGTGTACTTTGATGTCCAAACCCGTTCAGTTGCATCTTGGCTCTCTTAAGGATGTCAGCACATGTTTATCTTTAGCTCATGTCGGCTCATGAGGACTTCAGGGAGCAATCACAATCTTTATACTGCATTCATTTGTTTTTTACTGTTCTAAGCTGCTTGTCAGAGTCAGACTTGAGGTGCCTCAGAAAGGAAGCTCCCCGTACCTCCACTGTGATTTGAAGTCATCATATCCTAATTCTGCTAATCTAGTTCCAATAAAGTTTCATTTTTTTGTTGATTTCCCATTAGATGTCTCTGCTGAAGGTTTGTTACATAYTTCAGTTATTTCAGCCAAAATAAAAGCAAAATGATGAGGTGGAAGAACACAGATTGAAGGTGTAATTTGTTCTTCATTATTACCTTCATATAGCCAGAAGTACAACAGGTTTATTTGGAAYGATTATGTAAATACGGTATCATGAAATCTGTGGTGCTTTATTGTAATTTAGTTTTGAGTCCATCCAGCCTGGTTCAAGACAGCTACAGAATTAAAAGGAAGAAAGAAGCAAATAAAAACATTTCTGGAATCTGATTTTAATAGAATTCGTTTACTTTGCCTTCTGTCCTTCTTCCTGTTTCTGCAGCGAACACAAAAACATGTGATAGCAACACACGGTGAAAACTGTAAAGTGCTGTAAAGTAAAATAAAATGGTTTTTTTTAAAAGCAGCAGACTATAGTTATAAGAGAAGGAAGAAAAAAAACCTTCCTGACCTGTGAGCATAGACAGATACAGGAAGAAAGTTCTAGTAAGTAGAGATGGAACCACAAATGATGAARGAGAAAAAATGGTCATACCAACCAGAAGCATCTAAAAGCCAAAGAAGCACTACGTGACAGTAAAAGGTGAAAAGTGTAATCCAGAATCTAGGAAGAATCACTGCAGAATACTGAAAATAAAACTGAAACAAGTAGGAAAAACATAAAAAGCATTACCTAAAAAAAAAAAAAAAAAAAAAAAAAAAAGACGGTGTAAGATGATGCAAGAGCCAAAGTCAAAGAGAAAAAAGTAAAGAAGAAAAACATTATAGTGTGCAGTGATTACTCTTGTGTTTGATAGGCCTTTAATAGGGAGAACTGGAGTGGAATTAAGTTTTTAGGAGGACAAATACATTTGGAGGAGTCCTTGTGATCTGGAAGGAAGACAGTGATCCGCTGTTTGTGAGACAGAACTCCTGTTGCCCAAAGGAAGACTAACAGGCATATTAAATGATGCCTGCGGATTGCAGTAACATAGGATTTAAAATCTGATTCGTAGTTGCTGCTGCACACAAAGTCCTTCCTCAGTGAGTGTCTGCACTGTGAGCCTTGTCTATTTTCTGGATTAGTTTCATGGAAAAGAAAAACCCTTTCAAATCCCTCCTKTGACCAAARYTAGTGTTTTACCCCAAACKAATTGAACATGTAGTAGTACTYRGGATATAACTGTATGCATGTATGAYTTTACATTTTTTAACCTTTCAAATCTTATTAAAATGGAATTAAATTAGTGTTGCCTTCAATTTTAGRAATTCATTTCAAAGGCTTACCTTTGCAGTTCCAAGATGCAACTGTCATCCAATTTCATTGATTTCAGACTCCTTATGGAGAGATGYAGTTGTGGACAGCTGAGATGAGTTRTTTTYTGTGCACATTATAATGCATCATCTTCCACTTCATGTTGTGATCTCTTTTGTCTGTCAAAGCAAATCACACAATCACTGTTCAAAAATAAGGAATCTTGGTATATTGTGTGTTTGCACAGTACTCTAAACATGAAACCATCTTTTCCCCAAAACATGTTCTRTGTATACACACAGAAATAATTTTGGAAGTGTTGATACCTTTTTTTTTTAACGAGAAGAAAACGTTTTCCACCATGGAGTTGAAAGGAGATGCTGTCATTCAGTCTATGCCAGCACACACCTGAAGCATGGTACTCAGCATTCTGGCAACTCACACCATCACCCTTCATAGCTGATGGAGCAGAATGAAATTCCACTTTGGCTTGATTCTGGGTCTTTATTTAGTTGTGTAGGCATTCAAAGGCAGGTTGATCTTCAGGCTGTCTATAAATAGCAACAATTAAGGCTCTGTGTAGGGAGTGATRATAGAAAAAAGCCTAAGAAATCTTTTCAGGAACTGCAATGAGAGAACACAACTTCTTGGTTTTTGTGTGTTAATTCGTCAATAGTTAGAGCCCTAACTTTTCACTTGTCTTGCCAAAATGTGAATATTTAATTCCTGTATTTCTTTAAGTAATTCATACCCAGGGATGTGTGTTCTAAACACTTAAAACTCCCTCAGTGTTATTTTTTTCTTTTTAAATAAACATATTTTATGTTTATTTCTGTGTCAATCTGAGGTCAGGCAGTAATTGCACACTAATCACACAAAATGTACTTCAGACAATGCAAAATTCCTGGAAAWAGTAAAGTAAAATATAAATTACATAACACTTCTATGTTTTAGCAGCAATTACTACTTGTTACTTTGATTTTGCAACAAATTCCATGGAAAATAAAGTTATGAAATAAAAGACAGYCCAAGTAGTCTTTCTTAGTGCAAAGGAGAGCACATATTAGTTTTTTGAATAATGCTGTAGACCGAAAAGGATGTCTTACTATCCTCTGCAGTGATTTAAAAGGGAAGAGCTATTATRTATTAGACCTCAGTAATGAAATACAGCCATGGAAAATTTAGGATGAAGCATGTTTCCTAAAAACTTAAGGCTTACATCAGAAAAAATGTGCATAACCTAAGTAGAATAAAACTACTAACCCTAAGTTCACATGTGCAAGATAGTGGAATTTCTCCCAGAAAAGGATGGAATTATAAAGAACAACTCATGCCAAATAAATATTATCTATCYTCTCACTAGAATGAAAGTCTTTGGCAGGATCTCTGAAGATTATAATATATTGCATTTTGTAATGCYTACAATAAATGTAGTGAAATAGAAGCAGATAAGACCTTTACTTGGCTTGACATATGGAAAAAAAATAACAGAAACAATGTGCTTGAAGCTTGATCATTCTACAGTTATTCCACCTTTGAGATATCACTGCTACAATTTCATTTTCATGAATTTATGTGTTGTATGTGAATCC